GGCTAGCAGGGTAATTTTTAGGTTAATTCTTAGGTCCTACCACCACTCAGGAATCTCCAAGCTGTGTGTGTCGTCAGGATCGCTCAGAATCACTGCCAGACCGCAGCTCCATATGTCTCCTTTTTTGGTATTTTCACACAAATTCTTCTGCTAGTTGGGGTTTAGTCCATTTCTATATCCTTCCTTTGAAGGCTCAGGGGTCCAGGATTATCTTCTGTGTCTGTGTTAACTGGTTTCCCTTTTCTTTGTTGAAGAGGGTCTTTGCAGGTCTTTCTGCCTAGTCCACCATCTTGCCAGATCTCCCAGCTTGAATTTCTTGAAGTTGCCTGTCAGTATACTGGTGCAATTGTTTTAGAATTACTTCATTAAAATGTTACTGGTATGTGATATTAATGATATTGTTTGATAAGTTCCACGTTCTGTTGCATCACCTTATTTGCATAGTCTCACTCAATCTCTAGTGGTGCAGAGCCTAAGGCATTTGTCTGCTAAGCAGAAGGTTGGCAGTTCAAACCCACCAGCTGCTCCCCAGAAAGAAGATGGGGCAATCTACTTCCATAAAGATTTACTGCCTCAGAAACCCAATGGGGGTCACTATGAGTCAGAATCGACTTGATGGCAGTGAGTTTGATTTTAGTTTATTCAATCTTTTGGTGGGAGTTTTACACTATGGCTAGAAGGGCCATGTTAAGTGATTCACCACTTTGAGAAATCTAACCAAATTAATAATCACATTGAATATAAATGGTCTGTCTCAATTAAAAGACAGAGATTAACAAGTCAGGTAAATGAGGTAAATGAGCTAGACCCAAATCTATAATGCCTGTATAAATACACCCACTTTTTCCTTATCGACATGGTTAGGTTCCAAAGAACAGGTGGTTAAGTGAAAATCAGCATTATATGAAAATAGATGATGACCATATCATGTCAGATAACAGAGGATGACTACATCATTACATAACTGTGAAATTTCATCATTATATAACTTGCCAAATTACATCATTACATAACTGCTAAACCACTGAGAATCATGGCCCATCCAAGCTGACACATAACTTTAACCATCACAGCCAGCATTACCTTTGCCTCACACCTCAGTGTTTACTATTGCCCTTTGTAAGTCATTAATGTGCAAAACAGTCATGTAGATTTTTTTTTACAATTGTCATAAATGCAAAATATCAGATAAGAAAACAGTCAATAAGCAGAGACTAGATATACATTTTTAATTCAAAGAAAGAAAGATTAAAAATTTAAAAATGGAGGAAAATATACTGTCTAACATTAATCAAAAGAAAGCTTCAGCTGCCATATTAATATTGAACAAGGTATATTTCAGAGCAAAGAATTATATCATGAATAAAGAGGTTTATTCCATGTGATAAAGGGCCCAATTAACCAGGAAGACACAAATATCCAAAATGTTTATGCTCCTAACAATAGACCTTCAAAATACAGGAAGCAAAAGTGACTGAACTGTAAGAAATAGACAAATATACCATTATAGTAAGAGATTTCAAGATTCCTCCCCCAACAACTTACAAAACAAGTAGACATAAAATCAAGAAGGATATAAACTATTTTTGAACAATACTATGAACTGACTTGACCTTAACCAACATTTAAAGAGCACTCCACCCAACTGCAGAATAACCAGTCTTTTCAAATACATTTACTATATTTTGGATGATTAAACAAACCAGTCTCAATCAACTTAAAATGTTTCAGATCAAAAAATATGTATTAGCTGACAATGATGGAATTAAGTTAGAAACCAGTAACAGAAAAGGTCTCTGGGAAATCCTCAAATATTTGGAAACAAAATAGCGCCCAAAAAAAGACCCTGAACTCAAAGAAGAAAGAAAAGGAGAAATTCAAAAATATTTTGAACTGTATGAAAATGAGAACAGACCATATCAAAAGTTGAAGGATACTGCTCAAACAATATATTACAGAGAAATGTATAGCAGTAAACACCTCTATTAGAAAAAAATGAAGTTTTCAAATCAGTGGCCTGAGTTTCCACCTTGAGAACCCAAAAATGAAACTCACTACCAAGTCAATTCCAACTCATAGCAACCATACAGAACAGATTGGAACTGCCCTACAGTTTCTAAGGCTATAAATCTTTATGGAAGTAGACTGCTGCATACTTCTCCCATGGAGCACCTAGTGGGTTCTCACTGATCTTTTGGTTAGCAGCTGGTTATTTTAACTACCGTGCCACCAGGGCACCTCTACCTTAAGAAATTAGGGAGGAGGAGAGCAAAGTAAACCCAAAGAAGAAAGGAAATAATAAAAATCAGAGTGGAAATCAGTGAAATAGGAAACAATAAGAAAATCAATGAAACATAAGCCTCGATCCTTAAGAAGGCTGATAACATTGATCAACTGAGAAATTTTATCTCTCTAGCCAGACTGACCATCAAAAGAGAGAGAGAGAAGGCTAATTACCAATATCAAGAATGAGAGAGATGACATGATCAGAGAGTCTACAGCTATTAAAAGTATGATGAGGGAACATTATGAACAAGTTTGTGCCAATAAATTTGAAAACTTAGGTGAAATGGCCTCACAAAGGATTCAGTAGAAGATGGTGTTACTGTACACTCAAAGACCTCTCGTATCCTGTGTGAGAATGCTGCCACAACACTGTCCCTCCCTTTCATGTTTGCCACCTGCACTAAAGCCCTCAGTGGAACTTCCTGCACCAGAGAGTACTGGTGAGTCACTTCAAGAAGTATACCAGCCCTCACACACTCTTTGCCTCGTAACCCACACAAGCCCAGAGCCCCCAACAACTGTGTACACAGGGGGTATCCCAGGTGTCCCACCCAAGGACAGTTAAGATGAGGTTGGATGGATTTCTGTGCAACCACCACAGCACCCACCCAGACACCCTATATGGGAGACCCTGTATTCAGACATATAGCCTTTCTTCCACAAATATAGGTTAGGGTGGGTCAACAAAACCCCTAAATACATTCAGTTTTACAAGGTGAACAACATGTCATGGAAACAAAACACTACACTGGCATTAATAGGAGTTCTCTAGACTCCAAACAACAACAAGGAAAGGAAATTTGTTGAGCCTCCTGCTGGGACAACATACAACATGGATATAAAAGCCCCAGCAGCCCAGAGTCACTCACATACTCACTCACTAACTCACTCATCCACAACTTTAACCCATCCCACCTCCTCCCACCCCCACCATGGCTGACACCTGCTACTCCAGGACCTGTGTTCCAGCTCCATCCACCATGTCCGTCTGCTCTAGCGAAAGGAGTTATGGCAGCCGCATCTGCCTGCCCAGTGCTCGCACTGACTCTTCCTGGCAGGTGGATGACTGCCCTGAGAGCTACTGTGAGCCCTCCTGCTGTGCCCCCACCTCCTGCCAGTCCTCCTGCTGTGCTCCCACCTGCTGTGCTCCAGCTCCCTGCCTAACCCTTCTCTGCACCCCCGTGAATTGTGTGTCCAACCCCTGCTGCCAGGCAGTCTGTGAGTCCAGCCCTTGTGAACTGATCTGCACCAGCTCCTGTGAGCCCTCCTGCTGCCAGCAGTCTAGCTGCCAGCCTGCATGCTGCACACCCTGTCAGCAGGCCTGCTGTATGCCTGTCTGCTGTAAGCCTGTCTGCTGTAAGCCTGTCTGCTGTAAGCCTGTGTGCTGCAAGCCTGTCTGCTGCGAGCCTGTCTGCTGTGAGCCTGTCTGCTGTGGGGCTACCTCCTGCCCATCCTCATCATGCTGCCAGCCCCCTGACTGCAGCCCCTCCTGCTGCAGACCATCCTCTTGTGTGTCTCTCATCTGTCGCCCTGTGTGTAAGCCCACCTGCTGTGTGCCCACCTCCTCCTGTGGTGCCCCTGCCTCCTCCTGTGTGTCCCTGCTCTGCCGTCCTGTGTGCCCCCGTTTGGCCTGCTGTGGCCCCTCATCCAGCCAGAAGTCCTGTTGCTGAGTTGATGCACCTTCCTGTGTCCCTGCCTGTGCCCCTTTCTATTGCAGACCTTCCTCCTGCATGCCCCTCATCTGGCCAGAAGTTCTGCTGCTGACTGGCTCGATTATCTGTCACATGCGAGTTCCTGTCTTTACTCTGAGCATGATCTTCCAATCTCAGGAGCCCTGGATCCTCCTCTGCTGCCAGGCAGCTTGGAGCCCACACCTCTATCAGAGTCTCCTGCCTGTCAAATGCTAACCCTCCTCTCCATCAGTAACTCTCTCTAGGGGTGACTATGAGACCCCAGAAACCCATTCTGAAGGGTTGATTGTTCTCATATGATGTGGCAAAAGGTCAACTGTTATAACAAATAAAATGTTTGTGGCTGAAAATATAGACACATTCATGTTTTTCCCCCTCCCCTGTCTCCCCTAACTACTCTAAATTTGGGCCATGGTCCACTGTCTAGAGGAGGCCAGGCTAAAAAGTCATAGTTAAAATCCTGAGTTCAAAGCACTTAAGGAACAAGGAGTTATGCTAGGAGATGTCATCCAGGTAACCCCTGTTTCTTTCTATACCCCCCACAAGGAGGGGTGGTAGGAATGGAGAAAGTTTTTGCTGAGCTCATGTGCCCTCCTGTCCATCTCCCATCCAGGTGGAAGATGTTTGATTGGTGATCTGAGAGGAGCAAGGACTATGGTGACCTCCTGGCAGGTAACCTGGAACAGCAGGTCTTGGACAGAGGGGCCCATGCAGAGTAGGGAGACCAGCATGCTGTGTCCAGGCACAGAGCTTTAGGACTACCCCGACATGCTCAGAAGCATCAGCTAGTTTCTGTGGGCCTCAAGAGGGGCTTAGAGGTTAGGGTCAGCTCAGACATCAATTGTCCTACTCAGGGTGTGGAGGCCCAGAGCAAAGATGACATGTAACAGTGGAGGAAGATGAGGCTGCAGTCTAGCCCTAGACATTCAAGTGGGCACCAAGTCCTACTGGCCAGATTGCCATCTGGACACCCCAAGGACAGAGTAGATGAGGCCTGTTGAAGCAAAAGCACATCAGAGGCCAGGTAGTCAAGAGTAAGAACATAAGGCACATCCCCAGGGAGGGAAGGGGTATGTCCATAAGCCCCTTCCCCAGCTCAGCTTAGCACTGTCCCAGGGAAGAGGGAACAATGTAAAAGCCCAAAGAAGTACTTCAAACAGGAAATGGCTGAATCATGAGCCTGCACTGACTGATAAAGCCCTCTGTTTGCCTGAGTTTATTCAAAATTTGTAGCCATTGTTGTTTATTCAAGTTTTAAGAAAGCTATGACCATCTTCTATATGCTGAGCAAATAATCCGAGAAGCTGGACTATATGAAGAAAAACATGGCATCAGGATTAACAACCTGAGATACGCAGATGATACAACTTTGCTTGCTGAAAGTGAGGATGACTTGAGGCACTTACTGATGAAGGTTGAAGAACACAGTTTGCAGTATGGATTACGTCTCAATATAAAGAAAACGAAACTCCTCACAACTGGACCAATGAGCAGCATCACAATAAATGGAGAGAAGATTGAGGTTGTCAAAGAATTCACGTTGCTTGGTTCTACAATTGATGCCAACGGAAGCAGCAGTCAAGACATTAGACGACGTGTAGCATTGGAAAAGTCAACTGCGAAGGAACTGTTTCAAGTGCTGAGGAGCAAAGATGTCTCCTTGAGGACTAAGGTGTGCCTGACACAAGCCATGATATTTCCAATTGCCTCGTATGCATGTGAGAGCTGGACAATGAATAAGGAAGACCGAAGAAGAGTTGATACTTTTGAGTTGTGGTGCTGGCGAAGAATGCTGAACATACCATGGACTGCTAAAAGAACTAACAGATCTGTCCTGGAGAAAGTGCACCCGAAATGCTCCTTGGAAGTGAGAATGGCCAGACTTCGTCTCACCTATTTTGGTCATGTTGTCAGAAGAGACCATTCCATGGAGAAGGATGTCATGCTTGGTAGGGTGGAGGGTAGACGAAAGAGGGGGAGGCCTTCAACAAGATGGATTGATACAGTGGCTACGATGATGGGCTCAAGTATAGCAGGGATCGTGGAGCTGGCGCGGGATCAGGCAGTGTTTCATTCTGCTGTGCATGGGGTCGCTATGAGTCAGAAACAACTCAACGGCACCTAACAACAACAACAACATGACCATCTCTATAGAGAAACAGGCAAAGTTCTTGATGGACTCTTCATAGTATCATAGTTAAAATGACACATGAGAAGGTTCAACCTCAACCCCAATGAAAGATTTTATAAGGGACTGGGATGTTGACAAAATATAAACTTATTGTCATTGGGCCAATTCCAACTCATGGAGATCCCATGTGTTACAGAATAGAACTGCTCGTGGTTGTAATCTTTACAGAAGCAGATCACCAGATATTTCTTCCATGGAGATGCTAGCTGGGATTGGACCATCAATCTTTAAGTTAGCAGCCAGTCACAAACCACTTGTGCCACCCCGGCTCTTTGACACAATATAGGAATGAGCAATTTAAAACTCCATGGACACTGGTGTAGATGGCTGTGGCAAAGCTGAGGGATGTGGTCATCACCACAACATGCTCACTGCCAGGAGTCCACAATAAGAAAGTATCTGGGATCTTCTGATAATTTTCAAATGGAACATCAGTCAGAATATCAGAACACATGAACCTGGCTTAGGCAGGTAAACATGGGCACATAGGCATGACACAATATCAAGCTGAAACCAGGTCAGAGCACCTGGACCATGTTGATGACCACTCAGAGTGTTTGTGCACAGGAAATGCCCAAACAAATGAATCTAACACGCCTCCATCAACATGACAAAATTTGGTATGTCAGCAGGTTACCAGTGATTTGACACTTCCCAAGAACTTAAATAACAGATATCTTTGCCATGCAAAATGCACAAAGAGGATGTGACAAACTAGTCCTGTAGCTTGAAGCTGATCCCCAACTCCAGTCTTTAAAGGAGTTGGAAAGACCAAGCAAAGGAAGGCTGGAGGTTGGAAAGTAATTTTTTGGAGAGAGTTGAACTGTGTCTCATCCCCCTCTGGCAATAGAGGGGTTGGGCCATGTCAGTTCCTCATACCAGACATAGGTAGAGGGGCTTCCAGAGATCACCAAGCATGTGTCCCACTCCTCATGAGGATATCCAGGCTCAGGGTCCAACTTGCCTGAGAAAGTAAAGGGCTGGGTCAGAATTGGATACTGGAAGAGAATAGGGGGTGTGCTGCCTACAGTCCTAGAGACCAGTGTGGATTCCCCAGGAAAGGGGACCAGGGTTGATTCAGGTTCTGGGAGAGACCTAAAAGACTTGGGAGAGACCTTACCCAGAGGGAAGACAGACTTCCCACAGAAAGAACAAAACCACCAGCTGAAGTAGAGATTCTTTTACCCTTGTTGAGGAGCTATAGGGCAGAGGCATCCATGGAGAGAATTCCACAAGAGAAAGAATAGGCTTCAAAGACCACCCAGACAGAGAGAAAAAGGAAGCCAGCCCCCAACAGCACCAGTCAAGAAGAAACTTTCCTCTCTTCTTCTCTTTGCCCCATTTCACCACTAACTCCAAAGATCAGAGCTGTGATAGACCAGATAAGAGAGGAAGGGTAAAAATTGTTGCAGGCTGAGTTCTGAAATAATAACTAGAAAGCCAACTATAATTCAGAGAGAAATTTAATAAGAGAATAGTAACCTTACAAGGTGAGGCCATGGGGCCAGAGGCAACACGATGTGTGTCTCCCCGAGCCTTACAGGCTAGGGTTTTTGTTTTGTTTTTGTTTTTGTTTTTTATTATTTTTTAATTTTATTTTGATTTGGGTGAAGATTTACAGAGTAAATTCACTTTTCATACAGCAGTTCACATATACTTTGTCTCATGCCATTGACCAAAATTTACAATGCAACAGCTCCCCTCCCACTTCCTCCCCATAGTTACCTCTTCCCAGTGTCCATCCCTCCAAACTCTTCT